GTCTTTCGCATATGTCGAAATATTGCATGATCAACGGCGTCTACTGTATGTCGAAAATCACGCCCTCTTCAAGTAAATATTTGTGGCTTCAAAAAAATTAGCACAGAATCATTGTTGTCTGTATCAAGTTAGCAGTCCAATTACTTTTTTTGTAATTCATTGGTTTCTTAATTTAGTTCATCAGGGCCAGCTAATCAACTATAGTTTTTAATTATAAATAACTGATGAGAGTAACTGTAGCTACATGTGCAATACTTTCATCTTTGCTCAGGTATATTTAGGGTTTTGAACTTGCTACTACTTAGAACCTGTCACTGAACATTATAAAGCATAATATTTACCTTCCGTATATCTATGTGCTCCAAAGTTGCGAACACGGTTGCACAGGACTAACCTTGTCTAATACTCTCCAGGAAATGTGATTTTTCCGAATTTTCTGGCCTTTCGGTCCACAGTTGCGGAAAACCTGACTTCAGAAATCCAAGCTCATTAGCTTTTGTCATACGAGAAAATGCCCTGAAAGGAAACGTAAATACCTTTAATATCATAACTGCAACGACTTATTAACGGCCAGATATAAATGACTCCTAGCAGTTTTCACACAATTCCTTCCAGATTCTACTAAACATACATCTGTCAAAGTAAAAGAAATTTATTTTAAAATTGCAAATATTCTCATCAGAGAATTTGGAAGGGCATGTGGTGAGCATAGGTAAGCTTTCGATAAGTTCTCATAGGGCCGGTCCATTTATGTGAAAAAGGTGAACAGAAATTCAATTTCTCAAGTTCAAAAAATAAAAAAATTTTCTCACTATGTTTAGAAGCCATGTTTGACTGCCTCAAAGCGTTGACGTGAAGTCAAGCCTCAGTAGACAAAACAGGTATTCGATTTGTCGAGACCGCCATGCATGCCATGTTTAAGTTAAGTGGAACAAAATGCGCGACCTCGAAATAAATTCTGCGAAGCAAACCTTTTTTAGGATAAGCCCAAAAGTTGATATGAATATTTGAGCTGAAATTTAACAGCCGCTGCAGAATAACAATGTACTATTCACAAACGGTCAGTAGAATAAACTACGTAACTAGCTTCCATACCGATAGAACAGGTCCCTCTGAATGCCCCAAAATGGATTGCAAATGTTGTGTTCGGTTTTGATTTTCGAGTCAACAGATACTTACAGAGAAGTCAGTAGGGCTGCGAACTTGATGAAGGGCTGCAAACAAAACCACTATTCGTTCAAAAATGAAGAGAACGTAGTCAAAACTGAAAACGTGCGTTAAAATTTCTATTAGCGAATAGCACGGTACTTTTACCGTTCAGACCTAAATGCTTTAGCTGATCTTGGTGGTCGCTATGGCGCAGTGATTGTCTCCTGACGGAGGCGAATCGCTCAGCAGTAATAATCACCCTAATAACTTGAGAGTCCCATTGTCTCTGTAGGCAAACCTACAACTTCCTAAAAGTTCGGCAAATATTCCCACGTTTAACTTGAAAAGTCCATTCAGCAAACGCATGTTTTCGGCGATTCATCATCGGGCCAGTACAATTGCATGGATAATGAAAATAGCGTTATAAGTGTCTTATGCTTACAACTAATCGTTTTTACACCGACAGCACGACGAGACTGGTATGGAGAGGCTATTGCGCTGGTGGAGGGGAGAAATTAGGATAGGCGGTGAGTATTGGTCATGGGTCGAGTAAGTGGAATGAAAATTACTATCGCTTGCATAGAGTGATCAACTATCGCTAGGGGGTAGGAGGCGATATGCTATTGCCACCTGGCGTCGGCGTCTATCACCATCACTATCGGCACTATCGCCTCTGCGGGCGACCCCGGGCGGCGATCTCATATCGGCTCCCTTCCGCTGGTGATTCTTGTTTCCTCCGTGCAAGCGACTTTTTGAGATTTCATATAACTATGAAGGACTTTTTACGGATGTAAAACTGAACGCCATTCTAGATTTTTCTGCCTCTGTGCGTCCGCAATACGCCTGTCGTCAGCAATCCTCAGCAAGTTGCTTAACTTATGCACTGCAAACATATAAGTTCTGACTGCCAGACACTTCTACAGACTGATGAATTTCCAGTGTGACGAGATACCTACGGCCCATCTAAAGCAAACTGCATCGCATAACTGAATCATAACAGATACCGTTGGGGCCGCATGTAGCTGAGACACCTGCGGTCGTCAACAGTCAAAATTATGCTAAACCTAATTTGTCTACAGTAGCCAACTTCAACAAAAAGCGTGATAGCATTTGCAGCGGCAAGAAGTAACAAATTTAAAAGAACGATTTTCCACAAGGGCAAATGCAGTGGCCCATATCTTAATTTGATTATATTTTCAGCGCGTAGGAGCTGTAGCACCGTGTTTGTGTGGGATGAATGCAGTCACAGGAGCTTCTCGAGTTAAATATATAAGAATCACCGCTCCGCCATCACTTCGAATTTCCCAGACAACTGTACCAGCCTAGCTTTCTGGGGCATCAACGTCGTCAAATAGCTAGGACTCCGCGGTTAACTGGCGGTAACCTACATGAACTTGGAGAGTTAACCCAGACGGGAGGACAGATCCAGGTCTTGTTACTGATCTGACCCTTAGTCAGTTTTCTAATCAAAATAGATTTTTCTCTTTGCTCTGGGAGATTGAAGTTCGCTGCCGTGGAGGGTTCTCCTTATTGTCTCTTGTGTGCATAACGCTGACGGCTTGGCTTTCCTTTATTCGTATTCTTCCGCCGAATGAATGCTAACGCTTTGGGTCTGTCTTCTATCGCAAACTGAATCATGCAGCAGTAGATGTCGGCAGAAAACCCCCTTCAAATGTGATCTACGTCAGTGAAATAGTTCTGCGTCGATATTCACACCCCCAAAGAGTTGCTATGAATTCCTGCAAACAAGTATATCGTTACTGGGTGCTGACGTTCCCAGAGCAATTTTGCATCTTCGGTCGTCTATTCGACGTGTTTTCTCCCTTCTGATCACTCATGCACTCTGGGGCATGGTTCCTGATCTTGACCTCATCAGCCTTGAAAAATTCCCACGACCAGGCATTGTAATTTAAACTCTCGTGCTGATTGTGTGTTGTTTTAACATCGATGATGTTCACCATGTGCTCAAGAGCAGGGACGGTGATTGGAGACAAAGATGAAATTATAATGAAATAGACGCCCAACTGTCTACCTCACTCTAGCCCTCCTCCGCCTTAATCTGTGACCGAAGGCAAGATGACCGAGCAGGGTTTAGATGTGTGTGATAGTAGTTCCTGGTACTATTACAGACTATATTATAAGTCAGAAGTGACGCTGATTAGAGTCAGCTCTGGGCTCATATACCCTCAATCTCAACAAAAAGTTTAGTAGTACTGGTGCTAGCACTGGCGTTACCATTTGTCGGAGTTGACGCTGATTAAGCTCAACAGCCGCCCATAAAAGTACATTGGGAATTTAATTACGAGAAATTCTCTTGTGTTGAGCATCAGTACGTCAGGACCCCACGCCTGGAAGTTATTCCTAGGTGGCGTTTATTGCATTGTTAAAAACATTTTGGCTGCGGATTTGAGCAGCAAATCAAATAGTCCAAACACAAACGCCTTGTAGCTAACCAAAAATTCAAGGGTAGTCGGTGGTAATAGAGGTTAAATGGGTTGGGCATATCGGGAGAAAGCAAAATAATACACAGTAGAACGTATACAAGTACAAACTGATAGTACTAGTTATTTAAATGAATAAGTAGTTGCGCGAGATAACTAAAATGAGAAATACAAGCAATAGGAAACAAGAAGACCCAATACGGCCCAATTGGATATAATCATCGACTCTATATCATCTCGGTATCACCTATGTATAAAATCCCCATTTTTTAAAACTCAGAATAGCTTCTAAGACAAAAAGCATGTCACAAAAAGGGAAACAAGAAACTTAAACTAAACTAACTAAAAAATAAATTCAACGGAAACCTTAAGTAAGCAAAAACTTAACTCAAACTAAGGCCATAATTCGGCAAAGCATGCCTACTGTTACGAAGTAAGTACAGAGTTATGCGAAGAAAATGCTGCAGTAGACCCTAAATTTAACTGTTCCCTAAAAATATGCCTCCTGGATAGGCAGAAGCAAATACAGGTTTGTTCAGATCTTTCCGAAGAAACGAACATGTGTGGACATAAGCGTTAGTTGTTAGCTGACAAAACCATTAATTTGTGTATACACAAAAAGGATGCTTTCATATATCGCCTTTTACTTTCGAGTGCTCCAGACTATGGTATTAATTACTTCTATGAAGGTAGGAACTGAACTGAGCGTCCACATCCCCCTACCGTAAAGATTACGCTTGAGTTTTAATTGTTTCTGCAACTTCTCTATTTTAAATTTACTGCAAGGTAAATTTAGATATACAACTGTCGTGAGGCTGAATTTCAATTACGTATGAGTTCTGTTGAAAGTACGATGGCCTGCAAAATCCACTATAAACTGCGATCGTGCTAAGGTTGAGATCGTTCTCATGTCGGGACACATACTAGAGAGGATCCTACATTCAGTTTCGCCTGCTTCCTCTACCCGCCTTCTATTTAGTCACGAAAGCACAGAAAACCTAGGACAACCTAATGCATGAGTTGACATGACAAATAACGCCAAACTGATTACCAGAACTGAATTTGATAAAATAGTATTAAACTTTTCAGGTATTTAAAAGCGTAAAACATCATCGCCATAAAACCACGATAATCTCTCAATTAACAACGTGGAGACCACATCCGTATCCATGAAACGCTCCGGCGAACTTTATGTAATATTTTATTTAATTTAAAGCCTTTTTGTTATCTAATACGCTTCTATTAGGTACTTTAACAATCGCATAAATGTTTGGAGACGCCCCAGCCTTTTTCCCAAACATATTCGTGTAGTGGCAATAGCCGTTAGATGACCGACAAAAGAGCTCAAAAAAGGGACGTACCCAGTTGAGAAATCAAGATCCCTTTTAGGAAGATAGAAGGGACCGGACTGGGTGGTGATTTGTTTTGGGTGCGTCCACTGTCCTCTACACCTCTCTTCCTCATCCTCAGGTCCAAATAGACAGCCCTCAAGGTTGTCTTTGTTTGTCTCCTGGAGACTACCAGCTCGGTGGAGCCACGGACAGGCATCGCCTGCGCTCTCCAAGGAGTCCATTTTGGACGAATTTTCGTCCTCAGATGATGTCATGGCGTCCACTCGGGTGTTTGCAGGATGCGTAGCACCCGTTGCTACCGAGCCGTCTGCCACAGCTGCCTTTGTCTTGACGGTAGGGTTTGAGATGTCGGTGCACTGAAGGTCACCAGCGTTCGCGCAACGATCACTCATTGAGGCACACTTTGGAGGTGCAGTTGCCGGTCTGGTAATACGGACTGCAAGAACAGCGTGCGGGGGGAGAAATGCAGACGAAACGTGCTTGAGTGATGAGTAAAGGCAGCTATTCCACGCCTTCGTCAGCCAAATAATGGGGCGGGGTCAGAAACTAGGTGAAACTAGGTGTGTTACAGCATGGGGAAAGCGCATGCATTTGGCGACTACGCCCTTGTCCCTGATTGGTGAATTCAAAAAGGCCAAGGGCCAATCAATGAAGTGAGAAGGTCATAAGCGCGATTAGCGTGTTCCGCGGTTGGACAACAGAGGCCGTCACGAAGTTAGTAAGTAGTGAATTATTTTTTTTACCGGTAATATGCCTGCGTAAGAATTATCGCACGTGACTCATTTTCTGGGCAGAAGTCCATTATTATAGGTTGTCGTGTGGCTTTTGCTGCCGGTATGATCATTAAATTATGAACGCTTAAGTCAATTTTTCATGGGCGTAAAAAAACTTAGTATTGGGAACGAAGCCACCAATCGATAGCACTGTGCAGGCAGAAATGGAGAGTTTATCTCATTTCTGACCCGTCATCTATGCAGCGGACTTCATAGACACCCAGCAAAGGCGTGAAACAATGAGAAAGGACAGTGGAATGGCCATATTCGGCCCATTTATCAATATCAATCTACGTGAGCTTTGGAAATGAAATTCCGGAACAAAATGGAGGTGCATATTTTCGTCCTACAGTAAGCACATAAAAGCCTCTCACCCTTGGGGTAGAAGGAGCACTTAGAAATAATCTAGGTCTCGTGGGTCAGTAGGATTGTTAGTAGATTATACCCTAGTAAAACAACTCAAAAGGCTGTCTTTGCTGATGCTAAAACAGAACCTGGAGATTTCTTTCACAGCAGAGTACTGAAAAAGAGGTACCGCGAAGTCGAAATTTGCTGAAATTGGCTATCCACAATTTTCAAAAATGCCCACTAGACGGGGTAGCCAACAGGTGTCCAGTTGAATACATATTTTGTGCGGTTAATCATACAGACAGAAATGTGTTTAGAAGAAGGGGTTTATTGCCCTAGCGTTTCGGATTCCGTTGGGAATTCTTAATCATAGGTAATGGTAGCATGGTCGTAGTCCTCTTCTTAAGTGCTTCCTGGAACTCGCATATTCACCTCTATTGGTAGACATGGGTCTTGCCGATATTCTACCGCAGCATGTCACAGCTGTGAGGAAATTGGCTCATCAATGGCTTCTGATAAATACTCCAGTTTCTAGATCTCAGCTCATCGCAGAAATTAATCACTAACTTGGAATAAATTGCACGGGGAATGCTAGTGGACCCACGGATGAGCCTAACAACTGCGTCCTACAGCGGCAGAATATCGGCAAAGCCCGTGGTTGGACTTTCAGCTTCTATCTGTGCAATTATTATGATGAAACAAACAACGAAGGTAAACCTCCCCTTTTCGCAATTTCCAGTCAACTACCAATTAGGGTGAGGAATTGTCAAAAAATCAAGTAAAAATGTTAACTGTTTTTGCACAAAGAAGAAGTAATCTTGAAAAATGAATAATCAGGGAGCATCAGTTCGAGATGATTTTCACTACTATTTAGACTAGTGTCCTGCTCGACTCACGTGCAAACAGAGTTATTTCTAGAGAAGGATGCATGTTGAAAATTGTTTTCAGCACTTGAGGAAATACATTAAGATGGTATACAAATTGCCAATTTGTCAGGCAGTATGCGTGCATTAATTTGTTTTTACGATATTTCTCATTTATGAAAACTTTGGCAAAAAATAGCTATCGAAATAACTTTTATTTATTTCCTTAGTTGCTTGCGGTCGGTGGGAAGTACGACAAATCTTTCACGCTACATTCATTTCCTGTGCTCACTGGATAGGAAATTACAATTTTTTATCTTGAGTTTTCCTGACAAAGAACGCAACTCCGTTTGAAAAATAACTGCTGATGTTCCTCTCTTAGAACAAATAAACATTGCTTTCACTCGCTCTCGGCGTAACTAGACTCAAGGTCACGTTTTAACCAAAATGGGTCAACTAAATTAAGCAAATCTGCTAAAACCCCCTAACAATTAAGTCAGCCTGGTAGTCATTCTGGTGGATTCTAGATGACTGCCTAGGAAATCCTGCTTCGGTAGTCAGCTTGCTGTTCCGTGATGGTGTGTTCCATGCAAGCGGTAAGTTGGGTGAGTGAAATCGATCCAAGTGTGATTAAATTCACTGCGCACGGCGTGGCGTCGTAGCTCAAATCGGTTGACCGTTGGCTGCGTAGGGGCCTTTCCTGCTGTGTAGGTTCGACTCCCGCCGACGCCGCGAGTTTTTTCAAAAATGGGTCAACTAAAGTAAGCAACTTTGCCAAAACCCCTAACAATGAAAATGCATTTACTGTGTCCAATCTTTGACATGAACTTTGGGCTAGGCCTAGTCAGTTTCGAGACACAGCTGCAGAATGTAACGAGTGAATAGTAGACTACGCAAGCAGTTGTGTGAAGTTCATCGAAATTTACCAAATTAAGTACTGTTAAAAAGCTGAATACACCCTTATACACAGTTTACGCTTTTTATAAGACCTCAATAATGACAAATGAATTTATTTGATTTGGTTTCTTGGAATTATAACGATTTGTTCAAAAATCTTACACCTATGGAAGCAAAACACACATTCTTCCAGTTTGGGCTGAAGTGTGAACGACTAAATGTCTGCACGCGAAAGTGTATTTATCACATTGAGCTGATGCTCCAGGGTTATTGGTATTGAGACTTTCCTCGAAATGTCCTAATTTAGACAATATTCGAAAAATGTCCGTCAATTTTTTATTAGTTATGCCAAATATCTGTACGTCTCAAAGTTGTATGTTTGTAAAACGCTATTTATCCCACCAGCACACGTAAAGCAATACCTAAATTAGATACCTTGACATAATTTAAGTTAAACGCATAGGTGCCTCGTATAACTAATCAAGTTCAATTATGTCGAAGACTTAACATAAATTCCAGCCTTCTAGCCCAACTTAATGCTTCGACAATATTACAGTTAATGGAGGAGAGGCCTTAAAATATCCTAATCAACTTTATTTTGCTGAACCATAGTCAAATCTGCGTATTATTGATGATGTTAAAATGCAGACGGATTCTACCTTAGAACAAATACGACGGCTACGACGGGGACAGGGGTCAGCAACGGAGGCCCCGGAGTCTACTATCGACCAGCAGGCAGTCCGGAGGTTGCGGATCAGGCGGATCAAGATCAAGTGGTGAGACGGAAAAAAAGCAATACTGGCAGGAATGGTCAAGTCAACACGCTGATTAGAGCAAGTTTCAGAAAGGTCCATAAACTGGCCTCTTGTCCAGGGAGAATGAACGCAATACTTCACTTTGTATACTTCGCAAGAAAAATATCCATTTTGTGCTTTAAGATACTGCGGAACGCGTTTCATCTACAAATACACATGATTTCCTAGTGGCATTTAACTCAAACTTGTCTTGTAGGAGGCTTCTATGTTCTTCTGCGTGCTATTCTACGGAGATGATTTTAGAAGTGCGTACTAATACAACACTTTCTTACGCCAAAGTGAGAGCACCCAATCCCTTACAAGCGCATTTCTGAGTGACTGGACATATTCACAGCTCATTTCCGACGCACACTTCCTCCGTGCGGGCGAGATGATGTTGCAATTGAAAAGACAACGCCCAACTCTGTCAGCCTCACCCGGGGAAAGGTGCTTAACTGTCAAAAAGTAGATGCTTTCTTCGGGGAACCTGGGTGGGGCCTGCGATGAGCATAGAACTTACACAGTCAGACTTTTCTAGCTAGTTTCGACGTGCTGAACAAATCAACTCAAAGTCATCTGAGATATCAGTAAATGATAAAATTTAAGTTGTTCGCCTACGATAGATACCCCTAGGCCCGAAAATCTGTCTTACAGGACTGGTGGTATTAGTTTAGTGCGTAGTTTATTATTTGGGTGAGTAATTTAATTTTAGTTTTAGTTGACTTTAGTTCAATTTGTTTAGGTTAGCTTGGTTTAGTGCATAGTATTTATTGAAGTTTATTTATCTAACGTTGGCCTAAAAGTTACCTAAACTAAAAACTAAACCAAATAAAAACTACATTAAACTAATAAACTAAATAGAAAACTAAAAGCTAAACTAAAACTAATTTAACTAAAAGTAACCACAGGAATGGGGGCTATGGCTATCTAAGGTGGGCGACCGAGTTAACTTTTACCCAGGAAAGTCGATCTACTCTCACAGCAGGATAAAAGGTCCTCCGATCAACATACACATTACTATGCGGGCTGTGCAAGGGAAACGAAAACGCTATTGCGCTACTTGGCATGGCGATTAGATTTTGTGTAGTGTTAGGGGTAAGTTCGGGACTAGGCTTAAGATTTCAGTTAGGATTATGGTGCGTGCATATATATCCTGCCGGGACGTTTGCGGAAAGATTCCCATACCTGTGCCTGACCACTGTATGCTTCATATTACGACTTTTTGAGTCCTCCTGACTTAAGATTTTTCGCTAACTTTTAAACCTCTGCCACGTTCTGCTTATCTGCTGCAATCTGATGGGCCATGAAAACGTTCCGTTTGGAGTTCTGCCCCATACGAATAGAGCCCGTGAGAATGGCCAAGAGGGGGTGCGATAGGGATTTTGTGTCGCCTGTAGGCCTGTGAATGCCTACGCGGGCTCTAAATGTGAGCTTCTAGGCAAAACGGAACTTAATTCTTCCTCTACCAGATCGGCGAAGCCCATATATTCAACATATTCACGATCTCAACCGACAGAGTAACGAGCCCGTGGTGCCGAGGTAGAGTATTAAGTTCAATAATTAAAGGTCCCGGGTTCGAATCTCGAGGCTTCCAACCCTTGAGGTGGGGTATGACTGGCTGATGACGGCTAACAAGCCAGAAATGGCCGTTCCGGTCTCCCTTTGATTCTTCGGATCCGTTTCATCAAATCCTGTACGTATGTTTATCTCTGCCGCCAATTGAAAGAAAAGAAACCTGTTTCGAGCGTGAGCATGCAGGGATTGGAGAGCTGAGTTAAGCAGTTTATGTGTGTCGTTTATGCGGTCACGGGTACAGTCCACAAACATTCTAGAAGAGGAAAGATCTCTAGGGATCTCCAGAGATCTCATCGATCAATCACTTCTGGGTGAAAAGGCACAAAGATGGTTGTCCACTTAAAACCTTAAGACAAAAAAGACGGAACCTACTTCATACAGTGCCTTTGTCGTCCGCCTATGCACGCTATGACGAGGGTTGTGGACAGTGGTCTGTCGAGGCCGACAAAACATGCGTCGGCTTCCCCCAGACGCCAATGTCGCCATCACAAAAGAGGCGCTCTCGGTTTCTGGAGTGGTCACTAAACTGCGCATTTGATTGCGGCGGAGGGTAACCCGACTGACCTGACTTTAACTACTACGTAATCTACCCTCTTTAACCTTTCTCGTGAAATTCCTCTGAAACGACCGACGACAGTAGTTGTTGGTTGTCCTATGGAAAGCCATAAGCATCAAAAATTGACACAAAGCGGGAGTGCAACGAGAACGTTAAAATTCAAATGCAGACATGTATAGAGCAGAGAATATTACGATCGAAATCTTTGTCACTTTTGGTGGAGTATAATCGAGTTGATGAATTGGAGCCTGATGTAAGGCTATATTTGCATGTTTTGTTAATACTTGAACCCACAATAAATCAAGCAATTGCCAAAATAAGCAGGCGAAATGAACAATATACTGTAATAGGTGACAGTACTAAAACTGCTATTTTTTGGGCCGCTGGTGTTATTTTCAAATATTTTTTTTGAAATCAGGATAAAAGGGCAGTAAAAATAAGCATTTCTGCCATCCAGCAATTTACTGCTGTTATTGTTAATACAAGCACACATGTGGGTCTCAGGAAGTATTTGAGAAGAAGCCGATATGATCGCTGGGACAAGAACGTTATTCGCCTGACGTTTCGAAATCCGTCGCGGATCAATCGTCAGAGGTAATAGTAGAAATGGATAATTCAAAAATATGGAGTTACAGTATTTATAGGATACAGTCGCTATGTTAATGCATACTATGACAATTAACGGCCTCTCATTATCGAGAATAGTTGGCCACTTGAGCGTTAATTGCTTGGTGGCCGGTGTTTAGGTCATGACCTGCTGAACTTTCATCATATTTAGTGGACTTGTGGGTTGTGATTGTTCGGCCATCCAGTTCTCTGGCGCTAGTGTTAGACGGCGAGTTCGCCTGCGCGTTCCCCGAGTGGCGAAATGCTTTGGCCAAACTGAGCCTTCGCAACGAACATGGATTAAGCAGGTCGTTACAC